GTGTGTGGCTCTTATTCTAAAATGAACATGCCATTGTGCCATGTATTCTTGTAGAGAAACTGAGGAAAAGACAAATTTAAACGGGCCTCGTAGTAATCCACTACAGCACAGCAATCTGTTCCTTCTGCCATTTCTACTGCTGGTCCCCAGCTGACACCACCTCCCCATGTCTGTATCTACATTACCTCTGTACATTAATTAGGATCCAGCCGGAAGGCCCACATAACTATCTTGTAAGATTTACTTACATTTTCACTCATACCTACCCTCTGAGCATAGCATAATGGCTCCCAAGATCCCCCCCCAAAAAAAAACAATTCAGGATAAATTTAAGCTGGGCTGAAAAAAAAAATAAATGTGTACATTTAACCCCAAAGAGAGTAGCTCCAGTTATTCCTACAGATTTTTTTCTTTTCGATTAAGATTGTATTTCTACAAAATGGAATGAAAGATACTTAGGCTCATAAGGTAAAGAAGGCAGAAGGCTGTCAGTGAAACGATGCAGGTTTCTTGTCTGCTTCCATTGACTGAATACACTGATAAATAATAACGAGATCTTCTTCCACTCAAAGTCAAGTTACTTAAAAGATACTTGAGTTTCTCAGCCTCAAATCAACAGCTCGTAAATGTGGCTACGAGCTTTTATTTCATCTGTTGGACATTATCAGATGTTTCGTATTTGCTAATATCTAACGGGTTCATGTCAATAACACAGCATTATGTTGACGTTCTTAAACACTGAGAAACATACAATGTCGAGTTGTGCATTTTCTGAAAGGGTATTTTCTAAGGAGTGGATTCGGCTCAGTGTCTTCATGCTACGGCTTTGTCTGCATAAACACAAGCTAGTCTAAGGCAGAATAACCGAGACACAACCATTTCTAGAGATACTCAATTAACTTCATCTTTTCTGTCTGTCTCCACTATCCTCTTCCTGCTCCACACCTGGGCCTGGCAACTGGTTGTTCCTTTGCTGCTGGAGCTTTCTGACTCAGTAGGACTCACAATGTGTATTACATAGTAATACACGTGACTGATAAGGCAAGGCATTATCTTAGCATTGAATGTGTCAATGTCCTAATTGTCAGGAAAAGCCATAGGATAGCTGGCATTAGTGAAAGGGTCAAGATGGGTGTCCACACTAACAATGTGTGTTCAGATGGTAGAAGCTTTCAGAGGCCTCTGTCTCTGGGAAGAAAACTGGGTCACCAGGGTGGTAGGCAAGGATAATTCCTGGGATGGCTCAGACCTGATGTGAGCTCATGAGGGTGGTAGGCACTGGTAAACTCCTTACCATTTAGTGGTAAATGCTTCCATCCTGCACCCAGGAATAGCCCTGTGCTTTTCTGACATCATGGTAGCCAGGCAGCACACAGTAAATATGAGTTTGGTCTGGATTTTGGCCTTTGGGGAGCAGCAGGAAGCTGTTTGACTGAAATTGGACTGTCCAATTTGTGGATACTTAATTTAAAAACAACATAATATTTATATCTATTTAAAGAAATTCCTTTCATTTTGAAGATTAAAAAAAAAAAAAAAAAAAACAAGAACAACTCAAAGACAAGTCCCTTAGAAAGGAAGAAAGTCTCAGAATACATTCAGAGCTGTAGTCATTCAAGAACTTAGCATAACTTCAAACTTTAATCCTTGTTTTTAGCACGTCCAAAAATACAACACACGTATCTCCTTCTATACAAAACAAAGCTTGTGACTATTATGCCTGCATTTTATTTGTTATGAGTGGAGAAAATAGCCACTCTACACTACATTTATTAATACAAGACCTTACTTATAAATTAGAGGGAAGGAACTCTTTTTTAATGTCTTGGCAAAATACTGTATAATTAAAATAGAAGTTCATGTACTTTATTTGCATTGATATTGTAAGAGGGTTTTTGCTTTAAGTCCTTCAGCTCAAAAATTAAAAAAAAAATCATCCTTTTGAGAACCCACAGGGAGAGCATGCTTGTGTGGACTGAGGACTCAATCTTGAAACTGGGTCTTTCTGACAGAAAGGTATTGTGACCTCAGGAGCTCACTGGCCTTTCCGAGGTGCCCAGCTTCAGTAAGTGCACAGGGAACAAATGGCGGCCAAATGCCATGACGGGTTTTGGGCACTCATCCACTCTTATGTAACATCATGGTCCTGTGCCACAGGAATCTACATTCTTGCTCAAGAATTTACTTCTGAAGATCTATTTTTTTCTAATATACCTAAGTTATTAAGACTTTTCTATACAATAAATCTGTCACTGTCCCTAACAACCAGGTAATAAATTTAGACTACTAATTACTTTTCCGAATTTCACTTATATAATAGTGCTTAGCATTTGCTGATTTTTTTTGTGTGCCAAGAATTGTTCTAAGTCCTTTAAGCATATTAGTTTATTTAGCCCTCACTTGAATAATTAATCCTGTGAGTCAAATGCTATTATTATTGCTATTTAACAGACTCAGAAGCCCAGGCAGTGTTATGTAAGACCTGAGAGTCTCACTTTGAGCCACCGCGCTCTACTGATTCACACGCTGGATTTCCAAACCTAAAATTATTCTGTGAATAATAATAAAAGAAGCCCATATGAAATAAGTCTACTTAGCAGTTGATCCCATTCGAAATAAAACTGATGAAAGTTTTACAGCACTGTCTGTGTGCCAAACCTGTTTTTAGCACTTTATAGATAGATTAAACTATTTAATCGGTACCCCCATCCCTTTGAGGTAGGTCCCATTTTTATCCCTACTGTATAGAAAGAGAAATTGAGACAAAAGAGACCGAGTAATTTACCGATTGGCACTCACTTCGTACAGGACAGAAATTCAAAGGGAGAAAAAAAAACAAAGCTGCTAGCTACTATAAATGGTTCTGCACTCTCGTCCTGTCACGGCTGGTTTGCTCTGAGCAAGTTGATGTTTTTTTTCTAAATCTCAATAGTGTTGATTATAAATAAAAGGTGGAAAATTCTATAGTCATAAAAGTCCCTTCAAGAACTCTTATTTATTAGATAAAAAAAAATCCTGAAAAATTACATAAGGTCATATTTACGCCAGTTGATACACTGAGACACAAACTTTGGTTTTCTGCCTGACTGGATCCTAGCATCTCTCTGCATATCTCTCTGAGTGGCCCTCTAAGGACATCTAATCGGAAGTGAAGGAGGGAAAGGAATTGCAATAGTCTTCAAAATTTATAATTGTACATCATCATTTACCAGCATGTCTAAATCTTTATAAAAAAAAAAAACCCTGAAACCGCCTAGCTCTACCATTCACCAGCTGTAGAGTCCTGGGTAATACTCCATCCCTCTGTCCCAGGCCCTTTTTCTGTACACAGGGGATAGTAACTCACACAGGCTCACTGATGTGTGCATGAAGCTGGTGGATAAATACCTGGTCTGCAGTAGATAGTGAGAAAAAAGGTAGGGTTGTTATCGAAGGGGATGGTAAGATTGTGACTCCCTGCAGTTCCTATGGAGGAGGGCTTGATACTGAGCTAGTTTTAGCCTGGTTAAGGATTTAACTTCAGGAGACCTCTATGCATGAAATTAACGTGGATGGTGAGTGTTTATTTAATCTGATCAATATTAGTAAGCAATCAGTAACAGTAACTGCAGTCAGTCATTTAGGCTGAATTTTCTGGTTTTCAAGGGGAAATTTTTATTCTGTCCATCCCTCCTTAGTCGACCTAAAAGAAAGTAACTTTATAATTTGTTAAATATCATTGTGTTGCATTTTCTCAGGACTGGAAACAGCACTGAAGGATATCAGGGCCTATTTTTAACTTTTAAATAACATACTCTCTAAGGGTAGAATGAAAGTACAATGTTACCAAGGTGGATTATTGTATTTGTGTGTCTCTTATTTGTTAGAAACTCACTTTTGCCTTATAGAAAATTCAGTAAATTAACCCAGTGATTCAACATAAGTTATTAGCTTAATGTGATGGTCTCAGTAAACATTAGGTCCATTTAAATTTTATTACAGAAAGTTATAGCAGAAGTTTATGGAACATATCACTCTTCCGTAAGTTGTGTGTATAAATATAAAGATTGTATCCAGCATAATTCCCATACCCTGAATTTAAGTTAAGCTTTTAGAGCTGAAGGGGATCATAGAGATTACATCTTTCACCAGAGGCCAAGAAGGATTAAGTGATTTGTCTGTGGTTCTGCAGATAATGAATAACCACCCCAGATTGCAGAAGCCTGGGGTGGGGCCTTTCGGCTGCAGCTGGCAGAAGGTAGGTGTCAATGTTAGCAATGACAACTGGTTCTGTGTTGAATTAAATACCTCTTCAAGATTTCTGCTCAGCTCTGCACTCGAACCCCTGCTCTTTCTGCCTGCTCTGTAGTTCCCCTTTGAGCCGTGTGGGTCGCATTAACCTAATCTTACAGATCTGATGGTGGAGGCCTGTGCTTATGCTGTTCAGAGCCAGAGTTAGCAAACGCTATGAGCTCCTTCCACCCCTTGTACAGTAGGGATGGTCAGCCCCGAGGAGACACAAGCACGTCACAGACGTGTGTTCATCTTTTGCAGTGAGTCTCAGGTCACACCCAAAGCAAGATGGAGCAGAACTGTAAGTCATTCTGTTTTCTGGGCTTGAAAATTGACTGACAAACTGTAAACCATTCCTGAGTCATTATAACACCACCGCGCGGCTTACACCAGCCAGAGACACAGACCGTGAGCCCAAAAATCAAGATCAAATAGAGAAAAGTGTGTGGGTGGGAAGGGGCCCCCTGGCATCCCAGGATATTTACCTTGAGGTTAACTAAGTATTATAGGAAACAATTATTCAAGATTTCATTGAGAGAGAGCTTCCCAAGGGTCACATACTTCCCTCTGGCTTCAAGTTAAAAACGTCCTGGAAATGGGCACACTCACACCCTCTGTCTTACTGTGATACGAGAACATTTTGGACTAATGAGAGAAGTTGTTAGCTGTCTGCTATGCTCTAGAATCATGAGTTCCCAGGCAAACGAGGCAATATTGTGTTTAACTATTTGGAAGCGCTTTTTTTATTATTATAAAAGATTTTAAATATTAATGTTGTTTTCCATACAGGTGTGATAATACTCAGTGACGCATGGTGGACTTGGTGTCGTGAGTTTAGGAATGTAACGATCCAGTCTAGTCGCTGACGCCCTGCAGGCTTCACATACCCTGATAGCAGAATTCGAATATCCTTTTAAAAAATAGAGTCCTCTGGAGAGCCTGGGAGCAGAGCGGGCTAGCCAAAAGGAGTCCTCTTTCCCGCGCACCCATGTTTGGGCTTTGACTCCACCTAGAAAGATCAGTTCTAAGAGAACTGATCCAAATGCTTCTAGGTTCCGGAAGAGGGTTGAAATAAGAAGCTCATCACCCATTCACAAGCAGCTATGGAAGAGGTCAGCAGCAGGGGGCAGGGAAGTTGGGCAGGCAGAGAAAAATTGGGGTAAAGTGCAGAGTTACTGTCAAAAATATATCATTTTGATCCTAAGAAAATTAAGAGAATTTCATCTAATGAACTAGATTGTGATTTTTTTAATACGTTTGGTCTTCATGGAGTGTACAATCACCATCGGACAGAAAAAGGTGACTTTGCTTTAAAAAAAAAAATCTGAGTTATCTACAGGAATCCTGTGAACGCAATTCAAGGATAACATTCTGCAGCTCTTTGGATATTGAATGGTTTCCTCGGACCTGTCCACAGGGGACTCGGGGTGGGGGTTGGGGCTTTTAATGCAGGGGTTTGGTGAGACTCTACCGGCGTCTCTCCTTTCCGGGCCCACCTCCCGCTAGGTGGGAGAGTTTTCCAGTTCAGGGTCCTCTTCCCCTGGGGTGTGAGACCTGGATATCAGAAAGAGTTTCTCCTTGTTTGTAAACTGCCTCTGCGCAGACGCAGGCTGCTCTGCCCTAGTTGGCTCTGCACTGGGACCCTCCGGGGAGCTGTGCTCTGTGCCCGGATCGGAGGCATCCACACACTCTAGCCTTTTCCTGGCCACCACGTCCACGACCGACTCCACGGAGGTGTCAGCCTCCCTCAGAGGGGTGTAGCCCTTATTGCTGCTGGACTGGTCATCCGACTGAGAGCTGTGGGAGTCCCGACGGACGCGGGGCGAGTCCTTGGGGGACAGAGGAAGCGAGGGCGTGGCGGCTGTATCGGGAGGGCTGGGGTCCGGGTCTGCCGCCCGAGGGGAGGGCGGGGGTTCGGGCGACGGTGGCGTCCGGTAGTCCGGGAGCCCGCTGGTGCTGCGGCGCCTCCAGGCCGCGTACCTGCAGGTCCTGGGCAGGCGGCCACCCTGCCCCCTGGTGGTGCGTGCTGGCGCCGCTCCCTCGGGCGCCTCCGGCTCGCAGGACGCCCAGCGCGCGCCGCCCTCGGCTCCCCGGAGGTCGGTCAGGCTCAGGTCCAGTTCTCCCCTAGGGAGATCCCGGGAGCCGCGTTCCCCGGGCGGCCCGTGCCAGCTGCAGCTGGCGCCCTCCGAGTCCCGATCTCTGTCCCGCTCCCCTTGCAAAGGCAGCAGCGCGAAGGCGCTCAGCGACGAGCCCACGAGGGAGCTGGCGGTGCTCTGGCGCCCCCAACTCCCGGTTGGGCTGCAGGGCGCCGGGCTGCTGCCTCCGCTGGCGGCCGCGGTGACAGTGGCGGTGGCCGCAGCCACCGTGGCAACGGTGGTCCGGCGACGGCCAGCCCCACCGGAGCGCTCGCGGTAGATGCTGTACACCGCCTCGGCCAGGCTCGGGGGCTCCCGCGGACGGCGCGGAGACGACGCCAGGTCCGGCGGGGACCCTGCTTCCCGGGTCCCACCGCCGCCACCCCCCAGCCCGACGGAGTGGGGCCAGGAGCCCCTGGCCAGCATCGCAGCAGCCCCGAAGGCGTCCGCAGAGCCCGCGCAGCTGCCGGGCTTCAGCTCCAGGCCCCGGGATTGCACGTAGCTGAGAAAGCCGTTGAGCGGCGCTGTCCCCGGGGGCGCGGAGCTGGGGGCGGCGGAGGAGGAGGAGGCCGCGGCCGCCGCCGCCGCAGCTGCCGCCGCCGCCAGATCTTTGGCGCGGAGGCTGTGCACGTCGATGACCGTTGAATAGAGGTCCCGCAGGTTGATGATCTTCGTCTTCTTGTCCCTGTTCTCGTGGAGCACTGCGTTGGCGCAGATGAAGAGGAAGATGCCGATGCCCATGATGAGGGGCCCAAAGACCTTGAGCTTGTCTGAGTGCAAGTAGCCTGAGAAGATTCGGAAGAAGAAGCCCACCGACGTGGGGGAGGAGGAGGAGGAGGAGGAGGAGGAGGGGGAGGAGGGGGGGGGGGAGGAGGGGGGGGGGGGGGGGGGGGAGGGGGGGGAGGAGGAGGAGGAGGAGGAGGAGGAGGAGGAAGAGGTGGCTGCAGATCGAGCGGGAGGCGAACTCCTGGGCCCGCCCACAGAACTGGCGTTGACACCCCCTGGGGTCCCGGGGTGGTTCCTCGTCGGGTTTTTGCTGCCACTGCTGCTGTTGCCGGAGGTCGCAATGAGGTGGCTGCTGCCCATGGGCAGCAGCTGCTTGCTCCCGCCTCTGCTGACTGCGTTGGCTTTTGGCCAGTAGCCCACCACAGCCATGGCTATGCCCACCAGCAGCACTAGGATCCCGCAAAGGGCAATGAGCCCCGAGATGGAGCAAAGCTTCAGCCTGCCTTTCACCACCACCACGTCGTTTTTGCGCCTCTTCTTGGCTTTCTTCTTGCGCTTAGGGACCTGGCTGGGGGGCCGGAGGGGGTCCTGCTTTCTGGCGGATATCCTCAGTAGGCCACCGGTGGCGATCATGGCGAACTGGTGCGGTGCTAGGGCTAGCCCCTAGGGCTGGGGCCGAAGCTTGCGCAGGAGGAGCGCTAGCTGCCCACTAGCTGCTTGGTCACCTCCTCCTGCAGCGAAGCAGAGGAACACAGTCAGAGGGTGCAGGCTTGGCTGCAGCAACAGCCCACGTGCCAGGACTGCCCCTGCTCCTGGAGCCAACTCCAGGTGTGTCTCCACCCCCGCCCCCAAGGCCAAGAGCTGTGTACACAGACCGGAGCTGGGTCTGTGTTACGGAAGGGAAAGGTGACTTGGACAGGTTTGAGAGAAAAGCTTTCCCCTCTCCCCACCCCATCCCCCACATGTTCCAAGCATGACCTCCTCAGTGCTGCTCCTCTGAAAGCTTCCTGGCTGGCAGCCAGTGGGATTCCTACCATCCTTATAAACCCCAAGGATGGGGGGACTCAAAGTAGTGTTGGAGGACTTTCTCAGTCAGCCTTCTCCCGCCCCCCTGCTCCTCACCACAATGGAAAAGTTTCCCAAAGGAAGGGCCTCTGGAGCGCCAGGCCTCTGAGCCTGGAATTTGCCCAAGCCGGGGCCCAAAGTCACTAAGCAGTTCTGAAAGTCACTACTGTATAAAAAGAAAGGAATTCTTTTCCCAGGATGAGAGTGAGACACCACGCGCTGGCAGGACTGCTTGCTTTAGATAAATGACGCGGTTCATTACCCAGAAAATCCCAGCGATATTACTTCAATACCAACAACAAATCTTTCCACAAAGTTGTCTCTTGGCTACTCTGATCCTCAGGCAGTAGGTAGCAGAGCCCTCTCCCAGTCCTCCCATCTCCACTCTGCAACATCTGGACAGCTTCTTGGTGTAGAATATTTCCTTTTAGGTAACTGTTATGTAACCAAGCTCTTCCTTCTGCCTTTCTCTCCTCCCCTGGAGGAACTCCCTTTAAAGGTATCCTGCGCTAGATTTCATCAGGGAATATGAGAAGCCCTCTGGAATCTCCCCGAGAAACACCATTCTCTAGTACGAGAAAATGACAATATTAAAAAAAAAAATAACAGGAAACTGCCACGATAGCCTTCTGACCCTTTATTGATGTACCAACAACATTATACAGAGTCCCAATGCTCAAATGGACAGGCAATTACCTAGGTAAAGCAGTATAGACAATGATGATTTATAGAAAGGCATTTCTACAAATAAAAGCTGTTTTCTTCATTCTTTGCTCAGACGGTCATTTTTGTGGGGAAGAGGAGGGATGGCAACAGAGGCCTGGGTCTGGGAAGGTTTGGGGGCTGTTGGCTGTAAGTCTAAGTAGGTACAAGAATGGTTGCCAGCTTGTGGTTATCTGTGGGCTCTTAGAATTCCAGTCCTGCTGGGTCCTCAGAGTGCATTCTCTGCTGTTCCCTCCTGCAATAGAAATGCTGAAAATTAAGGCCATTATGTGGCTCTTAAAGATACAGATGGCCATCATTGGCCTTTGGGCATATGATCCTTTCAAGTCAGTTCATGTGGTAGAATAAATTATCCTTTGAAAATGTAAGTTACTTGGGTAGAAATTTGCTTTTAATTGGAGCTTGGATGAAGAGCTCTGGCCCCTGATTCCTTCAGCATGTCGATCTGGGTAGAGTGTCTTCCCCACATGGGCAAGCAAATGACAGTCATTTATTTATTTTTTAATATTGTTTGCAAGTCGGTATCTCTTTGGAACTTGGTTGGAATTACGTAGAGAAATGCTAAGTGGTTTAAGGGAGGAGTCAATGGTGAGGCTACATCTGTAAACCTTTAAGATTTTTTTTTAAGATTCTGTACCAGTAAGCATAAACATTGTATACACACGAGACTGCCTCCATGTTTTTATTTATTACATGGTTCTCACATAGATATTGCTTTTTAGTTCAACTGTAGGCTCCAGTGTCTTTAAGCAATCTCGAGGTCTGAACCGGCTTCAAGAGACTTTAAGGTCCGAGCATTTTAAAAACAAAGGCAGCTTCAGCCAGCAGGGGGGCTCTCAGAAGGGCCATGGGCAGCCCCGGTTTTCTGATCAGGTGCCCCCAGGTGCGGGATGTCTCAGAAAAGGAAAGCACCGTTTCTGTAACCCTTCCTCTGCGAGCCAGGTTTACATCCAGCAGAACAGAAGGGAAGTTGGCCTGAATGTCGACAACCGTTTACAGAAGAAATCTAAACTAGTTTAATAGCTAGTAGTTAGTTCCCTGGTTTATTGTGCTTTCAGCCCTCTTGAAAGATGAACTCCTTTTCAGAGTACCTCGATCTGACACAGAACAGTGACAAAGGTCAGGTGGCACGGAAAAGCCCCCTTTGAGGCTTTCCTTGGACCTAAGGAGAGAAAACAAACTTAGCTGTGGATGCCCTCTGTCTTCGCAACTGGCTGCCTGGCGCGAGTCCTGCCTTGGATAGGGAATGGAGGATGGGGAAATCAAATGAGGGATGTCTAAAAATACAACTGCTTCCAAGAGACAGGAGATTCAAGTTCTCCGCTCGTGATGGATAGAGCCCGGCATCGGAGACTCGGAGCCCCAGGCTGTGCACGATGCTGCGCCCAACACCCGACCCAGGTCCTTGACCCCGGGCCCCTGGCCCGCAGAGCCCCAAGTCTCTTGCCCTTGCTTTAGTCTAGTCACATGAGTGCAGCAGCTGCGAGTCCGCCTCTGGAGGGAGGACTGGCTGGAGCGAAGTGGAGGCAACCCCCAACTCGCCTTTTCCGGGCAGCGCAGCCCTGGTAGCACGCCCGGGAGAACACCTGGCTCAGAAAGCCATCCAAGGGGCCTGGGCTCAGGGACAGGAGGGCTGGTGAAGGGAGCTCGGAGGCCGGGGATTGACAGAATTGCTCAAAATGGAGGCACTGTAAGCAAACAATAATCGCTCACTTACCCAGGGAGACCGGGGCAGCTCGGGAGACACAAAGAACCATGGAGAAACTTTTCAGCCCGAGCCGACGGCGGAGCGCAGGGACAGCGCCCCGGAGCCCAGGGCGCGGGAGGATGTGGACAGCCCGGCGGGGACGAACCTGCGCCAGGGGCTCGCAGTCCCCTCGGGCGCGGTGGCGGGAGCCATTTCCAAGAGTTTCCAAGAAGTGTCAGGTCCTCTGTATCCCGCGCCGCGCGGAGCCCTTCTTCCCCGGGGCGCGCCTCCGCGGCCGCCGCCGGTCCCTCCCGCCGCGCTCCCCGCCGGGCTCCGCGGCCGCGCGCTCCCCGGCCCTGCGCCTCTTTTGTGTGGCTGCGGCGCGCCGGGCTCCGCCGGGTGGAGTTGAGCCCGCGGCGGCTGCTCCGGGCGGCCGGACTGGCGGCTGTTGCTAAGAGACCGGAGCCATGACACAGGAAAATTGCGGCAGGATGGCAGTCGGTACGCGGCCCGGCTGGGCTAGTCAGGGGCGCCCCCCCCCCCCCCCCCCCCCCCCCCCCCGCTCCAGCCCCTCCCCCGCCTCCTCTCCAGCCCGTGGCCCGTCCCTTCGGAAGAGGCTTGTCCCCCTTCCCAGGAGTGCACTCAGGGGAAGACCACACCTGCACCGCGCGTTTGAGCCGGGTCGGGGCGCGATCGCGCCGGGCAGGGTGCCGGATGCCGCCGAAAGGCCACTTGGCCTCAGCTCACAGCTTCTTTCTTTTTCTCCAACTACCTGTCTGAGCACTAACCCTGAAAAGATCCGAAAAAGGCCATCCACTCCCTCCCAGGGAATCCCTCATTAGGATCTGAGTGATGGTGACCCTCAGAGCCAGGTTCCTGTTCCTTCCAGCCAACATCACCGCAAGCATCCCCCACCTCACCCCCTCCCACTCTCCTGCTCTTTCCTTTTCTTCTTTCTTTCCTTCTTTCCTTCCTTCTTTCCTTCCTTCCTTCCTTCCTTCCTTCCTTCCTTCCTTCCTTCCTTCCTTCCTTCTTTCTTTCTTTCTTTCTTTCTTTCTTTCTTTCTTTCTTTTTCTGTCTTTCTTTCTTTCTATCTCTCTCTTTCTTTTTCTTATAGCCCCTACTTTATAGTGTACATGGCCTCGCCCCCCTGCCCCCATCTACACTTGGGAGTTGGCAGTATGGATGCCTCAAGAACACAGTAATTGTCCCCCTTCGAACCCCGCTGGGGCGGGCCAGAGCGCATCCCTGGACTCATGGAAAACTGTCAGATGCTATTGCAGTTCAGGAGAACTGGGCTGTGTAACTGGCCTCAGGGGACCTCAGGGGCTCCCTGGGACGTGGGCAGCTGGGGCTCATCTGAGGTAAGATAGACTTGGAGGTGCTCCCTTAAGCAGGCTCTGCAGTTCCTACCCTCTGAGGTAACCCAAGCCTTCAAAGGGAGACTCATTCTTCGGGAATGGGAATCAGGGAGAGGTGGGGGTAGGGAGGTTGTCCAAACTCTCTACGTCATTTGGAAAGTAGAGAAGAGCACATACACCACACACACACACACACACACACACACACACACACACACACGAGGGGAAGGAGGGAGAGAGAGAGAGAGATCCTAATCCTATTTCTTATCTCCCTTCTCTCAATTGCATAGTAGAAATGACAGGGAAAAGAATTTTCAAGTGGAATTTCCCCATGGAGTGTTGAGGAAGTTAGAAAGATTTCAATTAGTTATTAAAATGAGGTGGCCAGGCTTCAGGCAGAGAGTATTAGAAAAGCTGATAAAAACCAAGACTGTTGAAGATTTGGCATCCAAGCAAGGACATTTTGGCGGTGACTATTATGGAGGGTGTTGTTGAGTGTTCAAGGGTTTAGCCTCAAGGCTGTGCTAAAGGTATATAGCATATACTGTGAAAAAGAACAATAAAGAAACTAAGTATTCAGGTGGAAAAGTATTAAGAAAAGAAACTAAGTATTCAGGTGAGTAATAATCAATGAAATGGGGATGGAAGTGGTGGGGGATGGGAGGGGAGAGAGGGAATATGAAACATAATAGAAGCCATCACCTGAATATTTAAAAGGTGGCCACTGTCGTCTTTTTCGAGACCTGTGGAACTGAGCTATGACTGGAGCTTCAACCTGATCTCCTTCCATGTATGCTAACTCAGTGCCAGAATATTAGAAAACAAAGGAAACACTTCCTGCCCCACAGAGGAATGTCTCCTTTTACGGAAATCACTGCAAAAGTAACTCAATCCCTTCCAGTGGTTTGTAACAGCCCTTTTGGCTCAGAATCCCTACATTTCTTGAATCCCCGATAATGATCTGGTGTTTTGTACAAAGACTGGACCCGCAGCCCCATTTCATTACACAGCTGCCTTTCGAGGGACGTGGCAGTTCTAACAGTCTGTCCTACCAGACCCCATACAAACAGGAACACTATTAAAGAACCACATTAAGATTTCAGGTGGATTAAACAGTTAACAGTTTTACCTTCTGCAAAAATCTTAGCCACTAGGTGCACACTCAAAACTCACTTGCTAGATTAGGAGAAGAGGAAAATCTTTATCTGGGATAGGCATGCATAGGGGGTGGGCTGTAGCTAGCTGTTTCTTACACTGATGACTGTAACAACAATTAGGGTTTAGTCTTCGAAGTCTTCCTTCCAAACTGGCCTCTTCGGGTACTGTGAACTGCTCTCCGTGACAGTTATATTAGCACATTCCGTCATTTTGTTTGTTTTCAGCTCAGGACATCAGAGGAAATAAAACATCCACCTGTTCACAGAAGAGTGTTTTATTTCCTCTGTAACACACTCCCACCCATAATTCTCAGAGCCTTTCTAGCAGAGTCAAAGTATTCCTTGAAGCAATAAGAAGGCTCTGGGTCTTTCTGGTTCCCTCACCACTCCCTGTTTCACTGGCCACTGATTTCTGAAGTTCCGGACTCAACTTTCTTCCTGCAGATGACAGAAAATCCAGCGTCACCCATTTCCCCAATGTCTCAGGGTTTCGGCACTCCGCACTACGTTTCACACATGTGGTTATCATGAGAAGTTAAGCGCAGAGGGAAAAGATTAGCTGAGGGCAGCTTTGTTAAACTCTAACCCATGACTTTCCAGACACCCTTTAAAAAGGTCTTTATTTCTCAGAACGCAACCTGAAAGCTCCAACAGAAGCCTTCATCCTATCTTTCACGATGTTCTCTGAGCCTTAGGGCCAGGAGTTGTGTTGTAGATGGATCCACTGAGGTTGGGACCACGAGATCATTTGTTCTCTGCAGCCACAGACAAAGAACTACAGCCAGCTAAGGGATGCTGATTGAGAAGACCCCCCAATGAAGAGGTCCACCGGCTGGTTATCCAATACCACGTAGTCGGCCCCCCAAGACAGGTACATGCAAGTAAAATACAGACTGAGGAGGCTATGTTTATATACTTAGTGGAAGAAAAGAAAACATGCATCAACAATGAAGGAAAATGAGAGCATGTTTGAGAGAGAGAGCAAGGAGGGTAAATGAGATGGATTGAAAGGAGGAAATGGAAGAGGGGAAATGCAATTATATGTTAACTTCAAAAAAGACCTCCTTGGCCTGGGTAGACTGCCTGTGCATCTGGGCCCCTCCTTGTGAGGGATGGAGTTTGGCTGTGTGCACACTCTGGCCTCCTCAGTTTGGAGGAGTCTGCCCACAGAAGGTGGCTTTCTAGAGCTAGAAGGTCAGCAGCCTGCACCTCCACATATCTCTCACTCTCTCAGAGTGCTCAGGCTACGGAAAGTATGTATGGATTCTGGAACCTGTTGCAGGCTATTTGATTCCGTTGTGACCCCAAAAATTGTGAACCGTAAAACCCTGTTTCTTGTTTATTGTGGTTGAGCCCTATCACACACCTTTAATCCAAAAGCTTTCTGTACAGCAGATTTAATAAAGTTAACCTTAGGTCAAGAGGCAGAGCAAGAAACCAGCTGACAGGGATTAAAGAGTAGGAGGGACTTTGAGTTGAGGAGTATTTAAGACAGCATGGAGAAAGGGGCTTTTTGGCTTTAGCTTTTTGGGTTAAGCTTAGGTTTTACTCCCTGGCTTTTTGAGCCTTTGGGGTTTTGAGCTAAGCAAGTCTCTGGCCTTGGGCTTTATGGCCTTTTTTTGTGCTGGGCTGTTATTTGAGTTAGTGAGCCTTTTGTTTGTTTGTTTGTTTGTTTGTTTGTTTGTTTTCCATCTAGACCTGAGCTGAGAAGGAAGGTCATCTGGGTGCTTTCTCTGCCTCTATGAGCTAGCAGGTTTTCATCCCAGCATCTGGCTCCTGAGTCTTAATTGGTAAAATAGAACGGTTGGGATTTTCATTAAAAAAAAAAAAAGGAGCAAGTCTCCTCCACTAACTGAGTGCTTAACTTAAGTAAGTAAATCACTTAATCTTGCCTTCCTTAGCTTCCCCCCATTCACAATGGGGATAATGATGATAACAATCATGCCATAACATGACTGTTGAAGGGGTTTAATAAGTTTAGTTGGTATAAGCCTATACTTAGCACATTGTAAACACTCATTAAACTTAGCTAAGTCCATATTGGTTTTTTTTTAATTTTTTATTAATTACACTTTATTCATTTTGTATCCCCCCCATAAGCCCCTCCCTCCTCCCCTCCTGATCCCACCCTCCCTCCCCTTTCTGCATGCATGCCACTCCCCATGTCCACTGATAGGGGAGGTTCTCCTCTTCTTTCTGATCTTAGTCTATCAGTTCTCATCAAAAGTGGCTGCATTGTCCTCTACTGTGGCCTGGTAAGGCTGCTCCCCCCTCAGGGGAAGGTGATCAAAGAGCAGGCCAATCAGATTATGTCAGAGGCAGTCCCTCTTCCCATTACTAGGTAACCCACTTGGACACTGAACTGCCATGGGCTTCACCTGTGCAGGGGTTCCAGGTCATCTCCACGAATAGTCCTTGGTTGGAGTATGATTTTCTGGGAAGTTCCCTGTGTTCAAATTATCTTGTTCTGTTGCTCTCCTTGTGGAGTTCCCGTCCCCTCCAGCTCTTACTATTTCCCACTTCTTACATAGAATTCCATTCACTCTGCCCATCAGTTGGCCATCAGGCTCAGCATCTGCTTTGACAGTCTATACTGCAGAAGCTTTCAGAGGCCCTCTGTGGCAGGTTTCAAGGTTGTTTCCTGTTTTCTTCTGGCTTTCAGAGGCCCTCTGTAGCAGGTTCCGAGGTTGTTTCCTATTTTCTTTTTCTTCTGATGTCCATCCTCTATGCCTTTCAGGATGGGGATTGAACATTTTAGTTAGGGTCCTCTCTTTTGCTTAGTTTGTTTAACTG